CATGTGGTATTTTGTGGAAGAGCCACACTCAAGGGGCCAAAGAGCCACAGTTTGCCGACCACTGGGTTAGGGCATACATTTAAACTATGTTTATCCAGTCCCCTAGATTATTAAAATATATTTTACCTTGGCAGAAACCTTTGACTCTATTGGTAGCTTTTTGTCTTTTTAAGAAGTCATTTTGCTTTTAGAAACATTGAAAAAGTTGGTTACTTAGTTTTACATTTTATTAGTACCAAGTACCCCTGTAAACTGGTAAATTTTTTTTATTGAATAAGTTATTACATGTAAACTGGTAATTTTGATACAATGTAAAAAACACACCTAGAATTTGAATTTTTTTTTCAGTTTTGGGACATTGTGAGTAAAAAGCAAATTACTGTCTTCCTTGATTTTATACAGAAGAAATGTAAAGTTGGATTAATAGTTTTAAACATTATTTTGTGAAAAGTCTGTGTTGGCCCTGTCATTGTCAATAGGTCATTAAATCCAGCCTACGCCGCACTAATATATTAGGCCTAGGGAAGTACCATATTTCTCTTTTTTTTAAAATTTTGACCAATGAAAGATATGCCATGTTTTGGAAAACTCAGCTGACTACCTCTTGGTTTTAAAAGTTCTTTTTTTTTTTTTTAAAAGATCTAATTATGTGGCCAGAGAATTACTGATTTATCTTAAGATAAATGGGTTGAGTGACAGGAAGTTTGAATGAGACCAGTAATGAGCCTGAAAGTCAGGTGTGGGAGCCTTCCCCTGCTTTCTGCAGGCTCTGGCCGGGCTGCCAGCTTCCAACAGCCAGGCTTCCCTCCTCCTTACTTGTCTGGGTGTTCTGGAGTAAGTTTCTTCTTGTGCGATATTTATTTGTTCTGTTCTTTTTTTAAAACATTTTTTTTTTTTTTTAATTTCAGAGAGGAAGGGAAAGGGAGAGAGAGAGAGAAACATCAATGATGAGGAAGAATCATTCACTGGCTGCCTCCTGCACTCCCCCCACTAGCGACCAAGCCCACGCCCCAGGCATGTGCCCTGACCAGGAATCGAACTGTTTGACCTCCTGGTTCATAGGTCGATGCTCAACCACTGAGCCACGCTGGCCGGGCATCTTCTGTTCTTTTCTACCAATATGGCAGAAAAGCTGAACACTCCTGAGGTTGGGTATGTGGATGATTGAGGCCAGGACATAGGCCTACAGCGAGATTCTAGTGCTTTGCTATTCCATGTAAGCAGTTGAATGAATGCTGTATGTTTTTAAATTGAAAGAGTGCATCTTAATGAGTCGAACTTGGGTTCAGTGTAGTTTTTCACTGAACATCCTACTCTCCAGATTATTAAAGGTTATTTTTAAGGATAATTAGGAGCAACCCAAAGCAGGTAGACAGAGCATTGGCACATGGTCTTTAGATTTGGTTTCTTTCATTCGCTAGTTAACTCGATGCCTTTGCACATCTCCGGTCAAGTCCCTTTTGCCTGAGTTCAAGTTCTTGTCCACTGTGTAGCTTACCGAGGCACTCGGGCATTTTGCCCGGCTCTGCTGGTGCCTGTGTATGTGCCCTGATTGCTCTTTGATGAGGTTGTACCCTTCTCTGAGCAGGAGACATGCCTGGGGCTTTGTGGCTTCTGTGAGCCTGTCAAATGTTGGCTGAATGACTCTTTGGTGGTTTGTGAGAAATTGTCTTTTTTTTTTTTGGACATTCACATGTTCTGTCAAACTCCTAGGTGGTACTGTAGTGATCATCTTGCTTTGTCCCCTGTCCCAACTCCCTCCCCCTGTGCCCCAGATGCCCCAGATGCCCCAAGTGTTCCCATTCCCCCTGCATTGCTGGTCTTTCCCTTGAATGGGCCCTTCACTTTGACCACTGAAGCAGAGCAAAGTTCTTGCCTTGTTATATCTCAGTTTTAGAGTTACTGGAATTTGAGCTGACCTAGTTGTTTGGATTGAATTAGTCACTGTTTTTAATTTCACAAAGGTTATTAAATATCTTTGGAGTTTAGCTTTATTAATATTGATGCCTTCTTGGCTTTTATTTTTGTGAAGTGTCCTCTTTGAACTCTCCTGGGCTTTGTTTCATATAAAAATTAAAACCTTAATCATGCAGTGGGAGAAACAAATACTGTGCCTGAGAGAATTCAAAGGCTGGGAAGGCCTTCAGGAGTAAATCGCATCACGTGCTGGCCGTCTCTTTAAGTCGCAAGCCCATCCCTGCCCAGGCAGCGTAGATTTCCTAGAGAAAGTATTTTTTCTGTGTTAACAGAGGTTTTGTACCCTACTCTGCCACCTGCTAGTCTTACTCCCAGTAAGCCTCACCTAACGCTTAGTTCTTACTCATTTATTTCATTTTAACGCCTAAAACATTTCCAGTGTACCTCACAAGGTTGTTTTGGGGATTAGGTGAGAATGTGTTGAGAAAATGGTTATTCTCCGTGTGTTTGTAA